AAAAAAAAAAGAACAAGCAACAAACCTAAATAATACTAAAATTTAAAAAAGTATTGCTGGGAATTTTTTTATATACTAGAAATTAGATTTCCTTTCCATAAACCACCTATAATCTGCAAAGTATGCTTCTTCCTAATAGTTTTTTTCCTATATGTGCCTGTAAACATCTTCCCAACATGTATACTGCTATAAAGAACCATAAGACAAGTTATTCAAATACTGGGTGAATTCACTTTAAGCTTTTAATAACCTTAATGTTTCAAGGCAACCCCTTTTAAATCAAATGGGTTGAAATCACATTCTTGGAGCTTCAACATGATTGGTGATTTACTTACTTACGTAAACATATCAGACATGAGAGTTTGGTTGTGTGATCTTCCACACTCACCTTCCAACTCAATTGAGTCAGCAATGGAGAACGTGCCATGTACCACGTAATGGCCAGGACAAACAATAACACTATCACCTTCATAGCAGGCATTTATAGCAGACAATGGATCCCTATGGAACTAGAAAACAGTGACAACACATTGGAAATACATCCCCAAAAAGCAACTTGCATATTAGTCCAGGTGTCTTCATGTCTCACTTTGAAAATGGAGCCAAAACTGCATATTGAAGTATCTCCTTTAATACTGCACTGAGCCCAACGCATGCTTGGTAAGTGACTACTACTGGTAAAAGGCAGGGCTCTATTTCCCATTTCACAGAAAACCATCTTGGGAAGCTCCCATAAACCCTTTGTAGAATTCAGGAAAACCTATGATAAATCAGAAGAAAAAGAGCCACCTAGAACAAGAAACTCTCCTTTACCTGAATTTCTGTTTCTTCCTCACAAGGCTCCTGGCAAAGCCTGTCGCTGAGCAGCGAACGCAGTAGGCCAGTCGTCATGGTAGAAGAGACCACATGGGTGACCTTCTGACCACTTGGACGGATGCCCTTTGCTTGGATATTAGAATTCTTCTGATAACCAAACACATACCTTAAAGAAACCAAACAGAGCTATCAGTTTTCAGTAAGACAGCTAGTAAGAAAAGATGCTAACTAGCTAAGATAGCAAAGACACACATACCTCAGCAAAGGATTCTCAATGAGTTTTAGCTTTTGTTTCAACTGTTCCATCTCCGAATACAATTTTAACCCTTCCACCATGGAGATATTTTCCTGCTCGGAATCAGAGTTACAATTTGATAAACTGCTTCTAAGATTTAAAAATTTTCTGTAACTCTCCTCACATTGAGACAACAGATTGCGGTAGTCAACAATAAGTCCTGAAGGAACTCGGTCTTCAAGAATGTCATAATGCCTGAAAGTTTAAAAGCAAATTGAAATCCATTGCCTTTCAGGCACATTTTCCTACCATTAAGACTGCACATTTAGTCCTCAAAGACCAAATAAGAAAAATGATTTATGGCATATAACTCAGGCACATGTTAAGTCTTTCTGATAGCACTCTATTATTTTTTTTTCCAAAGAATTTTAGTTCTTAAAAATGACTCCTGTATATAAATGTTCTCTCATTCAGAGTAGGCTCCAACACATGAACAGCAAAATCAGACATTAATAGTAGCACATCATGTCAGTACCATACAGAATACCACAAATTTAGGCACTTTGTCAAAGAAAAATGCTTAGAAATAAATGAGGTTATCGTGTCTTCTGCCACACCCTGCAGGGCCAAAGCTGATTCTCCATATACGCTCAAACGGTCACGTTAAATGGAACTTATGAACCCTCGACACCAGCATTACTCGTTCCTGAATCAGGAAACGAAAACAGGTTTTATTGACCACATAAAACCTGACAGGCACACGAAAAGTTCTCTTCAACTGATGAGTGCAATTCAAGTCAAAGATGTTCGAAGTTAACTGCTCAGATTTCCAAGTGACATTATTTTCTGCTCTGCTCTGCCTGCAGAGATTTTGGATTTACACACCCTGGCTTCCTGGTTATATATATATATTTAGGTATCAGAGCTCGCTGCAGGGCTACCATGGCATGTCCTACCTCCATAGCAATGAAAATGGTGTTTGTGGCAGAAGAGTCTGATTCAATTAGCAGTTTTAAAAACTT